TGCTGCAGTCAGAGTAGTTTGGGAGCCGGAGTTACACCGTTGATTCGTTGAAGGGATGTATCCATGATGTAGTGGAAACATTTTAAGACTTTTTCAATTTGTGATTTACCAGTCTTTTTAAAGAAGTCTGACGATTATTTTCATTTGTGAAGCCTAATTGGTTCTTTATAAATTTTGAAGTGAGTAATTACACATCCAAGTGAGGATAGTAACTGATTTCTTTCCTTTGGTTTTGTTTTTTGTTCCTTTGGAGCAACAATATGGTACATCAAGTAAAAGGAGTTGAGAATTACGCAAGCAATAATTTGACAAGTTGTTTGTTTTTTATGCCTGTGTAAATAATTAAGGAATAAATTAATTAAAGAGAGAGTGGAGTATAAAACTGACAGTCTCTGTCCCATGTATTTTAAGAGTCACACTTCTACAGCTAGACGAAGCCGGACTGAGACAGCCTCTACACGCAAGAAACGGAGCCTGGAGAGAAACCAGGAAGGAGGGGTGACGAAGAAGCGCACCAAAGGGAGTAGGCCGAGGGCACCAGCCACAGTGTCCCGTGCACCTGAAGAGGCGGAGACACAAGGTGGTACTGGAGCTCCGGGAGGAGAACCGAGTTCAAGCACTCATTCAAGGCAACAAGAGGAGGCAACCCAACCGTCCATGGAGGACAGGGAAGCAGGTGGGCAGGAGATTGTGGAGGAGCCACCAAAAGTTGCAGTAGAGCTTGAGGTAGCCGGAATCGTAGGTGATGACAGGTCTGAGGGAGCGCCAGCAATAACCCCGTCACCTATGCCTACGTTGGTAATGGATGCAGACGAGAGCCAAGATCTCGTCGAGCCCAGCGTACAACCCAGAGGGAAACCACGAGCAATGATAGAGCTGATGAGAGAGGAGGTAAAACGTCGTGAGAACGAGCGCTCCACTGGGAACCTGGGAGGAGAGAAACATCCACAATTGTCAACCCCAACGCCGCTGCACCTTGATCAGCTACTACCGGGGCAGGCAGTTCGCGCAAGGGAGGTGACGGAGACATACTTCTACCGAGACGGGGAGAAGACCCAGCGGGGTGAGGCGACTCGGGAGTACGAGGTCGTCTTCTTGAGGCACCTGAAGAAGCCTACCGGAGTGGCATCACAGGAGCCAGGACAGCAGCAACCGGAAAGAGGTCGGCTGTGTACGTTGTGGAGAGTCGACGGAGAGTCTATCGGGGAACCTTTTCGGATGAAGACCTTACCAGAGCTATGATTGGGAACGTCAGACGGGTGTCGGAGACCTCTACCCGCGGAGTATACCAGGGAGACAACAAAGTGATGAAAGAGAAGAAACAGCGTACCTACGACGTGGCCTTTGTGGCTGGACTTAGAAAGGATCATTAGGGACATTTAGGATGAGCCTAAGAAGGATACTTAATCTGTTAAGCAGCTGATCATTGTTAATTATCAACCTTGTCGTCAATTAAACTTGCTTTTAGATGATTCTTGACCTTCAAAAAGAGACCAGTCGGACACCTTGATTATCTTTACTTAACCGTGTTATCTTCAAAGTTGTACAAGAGCCTTATTTTGTGTAAGTGTTTTTGCTGTATAAAGACCAGTATAGGTAAGAGCTCTATTTTTATAAAAGAGAAAGTGTCAAAAGTGTTATTAAAGGACCAGTTCGGCCTGACCTTTACTTTTACGTATAGCTTTATGCTGTATAAAGACCTATGTGGAAAGACCTGTGTAGGAAATTTGTCGAGAACATATTAGAGGAAACTTTTGCTTAACGTTTAGAAGCAGGTGGCAGAGCACCTCGATAGGAGTCCGGAGAGTTATGTTGTTCTTAACTGTTCCTTTTCATTTGTTATCAGTTTTATAGGTCAAGGGACTGACCAAACTTGGGCCACGGCTGTGTAGCGGAACAGTTAATTATTAGACAGTTTTACGCATTAGACAAGTTTATGGACGCTGGTGCACGTGCTCAAGCTTGCCGTGTTGCGCACAAATTGCGTAAGGCGTTGGTACCCGGCGCGGGTATACAAGCGCGTGACTTGCGTGCGGTCTGCCTCTTCCGTCCCAGCGCTCTTTCGGGCAGCACGCTTGCTGACGCTGCGCCGCACTTTCCCGCTCTTTTTGTGCCCATCCTCCGCGTTCGTGCTCTGGTGACTGGGTTTGCACCGCGTGGAGCTGAGCCGAGCCGTGTACCAGGGTGAGTTGAACCCTTAAGTAGAGGCAAGAAGGAGGTCTGCCCTGTTAGTTATTGTTGAGTTGTCCGCTACCCAGAAGCAGAAAAGACACCTGATTAGGGAGCACCTACGTGTCTAATAAATAAATACATCGGTCTGTCCCGAAATGTATTGGCTTGATCCGTTGGTTATTTGTACCCGACCCCCTTGTTCGTGTGTGGTGTGCGTGTGAGCGCGTGAGAGTGTGCCCTGGTGCCTGGTGGTAGACTGCCCCACAACGAGTCTGCTCCCCCGGCCTTCTTATTAGACCGCTCGTAGGACGGCTGAGGCCCTACTCAGGGTACGTCCCCTTCCCAGGTTCGCCCGAAGGAAGTCGCCTACCCAAGATGGACGGCAACGTTGGTGAGTCCAGGGGAGGATTCCGCCACAGTATTTTCAATTCACCTCTACACAAGTTATAGCTGCTAACAGGGTATGAGGTTTGGACTTCGTTCTCAAGAGGATTTCTAACTCGTAGCTATGTCAATTAACTAAGGACTTCCTTGGACGGGTGTAACATTTTTCTGCCCTTTCTCATTGACTTTGTACATTCCCCATACAAAATGCAAACACATTAGTAAATGTATAAAAATATCACCCTCCATATAGAAGTAGAAGGTTTTTAAAATCCCAATTTGACACCATATTCAAGTAGCCGCCAACCCGGGACTTCTTTTGGCTTCAATTTTTTTTTTCAAGTTGCCTCGTTCTCGATGCAACTGCCAGCAAGGGAGCCAAATTTGATTTGTTCCATTGGGGAGTACAAAAGCTCCCTTGCTGGCAGTTGCATCGAGAACGAGGCAACTTGGAAAAAAAATTGAAGCCAAAAGAAGTCCCGGGTTGGCGGCTACTTGAATATGGTGTCAAATTGGGATTTTAAAAACCTTCTACTTCTATATGGAGGGTGATATTTTTATTTCAGGTCACTGTAGTCAGCAAGCAGTTTGCAGCAGTTTTGTATTACATATCAGTGTCGATTTTATTTACCAGGAAAGTGAACCAAGTGCAATTTTGCACCACAAATTCACGGTAATGGTACTCAATTGTACATGACCCTGGAATGTAACCTAAGCTACCAATCACAACAATAAGCATCAAGATGATACCATGCTTTTTGCCGGTGAACATAATGTTGCCATATGAATCCTTTAAAGTAGGATTTCCCTTTTTTTTTATAGAAACACCCTATATAGGCAAGTCTTCATTTCCTTTAGTGAGAATAAAGGATATCAAAAGTTGATATGCAGCACTTTTTTCCCTGTTAAATGCATCTCTATGTTACTTTCAAATTCAATTAATTACAGTGTGAACACAATTACGTATTTAGTACCATACACAGGAAGTTTGGTTTTCATAGTACATATATACTATCAAAGAAAGAGTCTACCACTGTTTTACAAGTGTGGATTATTTAGACAAATTTAGACTACCTGAACTCATTACTTTATATTAACAAGCCATGTTCATGCTGTACCAATACACAGAGTTAAACAGAGAGCTGACTGAACACATAACTTTAAAACAGCTTTCTTGAAAGCTAGTACTTGATCATACATATAAAGCTTCTTCTGCAATGTATGAGAAAAGTAAGCTGATTCACAAAAAAAGTACTGCCACAACAAACCAGAATTATGTCATGGTATGGCGACAAAAAATGCATAAAAAGAGTGGACCTATGTACTGATGATGTATAACAGTGCATTAGTGGGAATGCATTGCTGTACACACTGTCAGAGGGTCATGTATGCACCGCTATCATAAACAATTGTTTGAGTATGATTATCAAAAAGGCAGTTGTTTTATGTTACCATGATTTTGAATCTTCCTGGGAACTTCCCTCAACAACTGGAAACATTAAGATAGTGGCTGTCACTTGTGATCAAATGTAACTTGTATGTGCACTTTGCCGCCTCCCATTCTATCCAATCATACACTGGGGTAAACATAGTGATACGTTATCAGTGCAAAGGCCTATTACAGGGTGCCAATCAAATGTCACACTTATCTATATTCACTACTCTTCGGGGGAACAAGAAATTTAAAAACCACAATGGACCAGTTTACAACCATTATCACCTTTTAATAGGGGAATAAAGATATGCTTAGTCAGTATGATGGCCTCTCTCATCCGAGGAAGAATGCACCAGATAACTGCGCAAGTTGGGGCAATGTGGTCAGTTTTCCATTGTGCTGATCTCTCCAGTGGCACACAAGTACACCCCCCCCCGACCTTAATGGTCATTACTGTTAGCAGTTTAGTAGGAGTTTGTTTGTATCTTAATATGCAATCTGAGGACATGCCTGATCGGGCACACTGGGAGATCTACAAATGTGTAGAAAAATTCTACACATCAATGATGCAGCAGGGGTTTGATATTTCATGTAACAATACATTATACCTCACTACTCCTCTGTCAGGGGCCATAATAGAAGTTTTACTTTAATGGGTGAACTAGTGTTGTAGTTGAGACCATCACACGTAACAGGGTGAACAATGACAAGGGAATGCTTTTGTTGCAGTTCATTTAAATAGCACTTATAATGCGCCGGTATCTGCCAAAAACTGAAACTCATGGCGCAGTTTCAATAGCTTGTGACTTGAATTCAGACGGCGGGTCTTGCGTTGGACTCACGTGCTTTTGTGAAAGTCTCAAGTGGTCTCGGCTACAACACTGGTGTGAACACCAGCAAGTTAAATTTGTATAGGGAAATGCACATAATTCCAAATTACTTACTGCTTTTATTTTCACAAATTTTGTGTTCTCTTTGAGTTCAGAATGCTATACTCCTCCACATCTGAGTCATCACTCCAGCCCATACCACCTTCGGGATCTGATTCCTCTGTGTCGACCTGATTAAAGCCTTTCCTTCTGTTAAAGAAGTTTCCCAAGCTGAACTTGTTATCGCTAGTGGCCTTATAACTTGAACGGATGGCAGTGCCTGCTTCACCCTGGAAGAAACGCATGCGGCCTTGAGCTCGCAGGCGGACAGAAACTGCTACCAGAAGCATGAGGAAAATAGGAACAGCCAATACAGCCACAATTATGGCTGTAGTGGTAATGCTGGCATTCAAAGAAGAATTACGTGTCTGCTTGGGGGCATCATTTATGTGTGGTTGTCTCTTGTCTTCAACTTGGCTGTAGGCTGTTTCATCTAATCCTGTCCAAACAAACAAGAAGTAAACTAAATGCCAAAGATAAATATCAAAAGAAGGACAAATAAAACGAATTCAACTGAACTACTGTGGTAAAAAGAAACCCATTTAGTTCAAAACCTGAAACTGCACAATAACAGAGTTCCAACTTGTCATTCAAAAATAAATAAACCCTTACAGGCAAACACCCACACAGTCGTGTTTTGCGATACCCCGGGTTCCCACAACAGTTTCCCATAGGCTAACCACAGGCACTTACCTCTGAGGACAATGGATTGGCTAATGAGGGCAAGAAAACAACCTTTGTTTTCTTTGTGTAAAGCCAGACACAAACACACCCACACCCTAGTCACACAATACCTACTTTTATTATCAAGTACTACTGCATAATGTTTTGTGGTTTCAGTTTCACTTCATGTAAACCATTCTCAAAAAAAAAAAAAAAACTCAAGAAACATTTCTCCTTGCCAACAGGCCCATTTCCCAACAAGGAAATGTATGCATCATTCCTAACACATTTCCTTTTTGCACAGGTAAGTGGTATTTTTGGCCATTTTTATGCTGTGGTTGAGTATCACTACACTCAATTATGTAGTGCGTCTGTGTCCAGCATACCACGAAGGTGAAACACAGACACACTACATTATTCTGTGTTCCACTTGCACATGTGTGATAACTAATACTATTTCAAAATGGGACTTCTAGTCTCAGAGTGTACAAAGTTTGCAGAGCTCAAAAATCCCAAACACAAAAAAACATGATGAGAACTTGCTGTAAATTTTAATGAACAAAAAGGACTTGAATAAAATGGAAAACATGAGAGTTTTTACATACCAAGGTCTCTTTGAAATTTCCACACCCTGTTCGGTCCAATTTCAACCACATACACATCTCTGGAATCTGGTGCTGCTGCCACATCATGTGGTTGCTTAAATCCCTTCGACAAATTTTAACCAAACAGAACATGATTTAAAAGATCCAGGGAATGAATTTTTCGTATATCTCTTTTTGTGTATCTCTGTACTCTTCTTCCATGTATAAAGACTGTTTGACATCTTTTTTGAATTACGTGAACTGAACAGTGCACTTTTTCAAACATTAAAAATTGACCAAGCATTTCTGGACAAGTGAGGGTGCTTTTGCTTTCATGTAAATCCAGGAAGACATGTTCAAATTGTGAACCCCAAATTTGCTATCTGGGAACATTTCTGTGAAAAGGATTTTTGCTGGGTTATTGCCATATACTTACACAGCACAAAAATTGCAAAAGATAATGAAATCTGCCATAGCAGTGGTTAAAAAAATCTCAAAATTGTCTGTACACAAATCAGTGCAACACTGAAATTTAATGCCTTGGATGACATTATAGTTCTGCTCATGAATATGCAAATGTGCATAAGCATCAGAATATGGGTTAACCACTTTATGCTGGGGCATTTTTCAATGTTGATGATGCTGGGCCGGCATGACTATAATTTTTTCCGTTTTCAAAATCCTTCAAAAATTCATCATTTTATTTAACGGTCATCTATAGCCACACGAAGTAATCTTTAGGCACTACTCTAAGTTGACAGGTGACCTTCATTGACTTCCAAATATTGCAGCCAGGCCTGCAACCTTGTGAACAGAGCCCAGATTGTGCGGTGTTTAATAGCTGTCTTTTGTTCACAAACCTGGCTCAGTGCACTGCTGACCTCTTTTCAATAGGGCCAGATTAGTGTGCAGCGATGCTGTGTGGCTCATCGCTGCAGTGGTGGAGCGCTTTTGTCCCTGGTGGTAATCCGCTTGCTCTCAATGCCCAAACCCTAGTACACAGTTTCAGAACAAGGCTGGATTATCACCACTTTTGAGAGTGAAAAATTTCGGTAATGCCCAGCAGCCTGGTCTTTTGTTCGGAGTACGGTCTTTTGATACATGGCCCTCTTTCCTTTGTCCGAGTTTGGAGACCCCGGCCACGCATATAAACCATAGGTCTCCGATTCCGGAGTCCCCGGCAGGAAGTGGTTAAAATTGCAAAACAAAAATTTAAAATCAGGTTAATTGAAACCCAAAGATGCAGTTTCAAGGGTTTTTAGTAAAATTTATAAACAGATTTCTATTTCCTGGTTACTTTAAAGATGCCACACAAGTTAGTTACATAAGAGATGCCTTGCAACAATACACTATTCTCATGGATAAGAATGACACAAAGGAACCAGTCAATTCCAGAGATGGTGGTCCCTATGCAAAAGCTTGCCCCAAGTCACGAGGTATAGCAACAGTGTCTTTAGTCTGGGGAATTCAAATTGTTACATTTCTGTGCAATCAGATAACACAGTGTATTTTATTCAAATTAAACTCGCAAGTGGCTTATTGGGTCTAGTCCAAGTAACTTGGACTGGCTTGCATTAACACTTCTTCACGTATAAAAATAATCACAAGAAATCCATCATGGAAGTTGAAGATTGAAATAGACCTATTCCCCAGCTGATTCGACCACATTTGCAAAATTTGAAATCTTGAAATGCACACTGCATGTCCAGGCTTTTGGAATTTGCTGGTGCGGCTTTTGGAATTTGCTGGTGCGGATTTTGTCAACTGCTTGCTGGCTGGCCGGCCGTAAAATGTCTCCATCCTTGTTTAGCTCTGCATATTTTTAACTTGAGGATTGATCTTGTCAAAGACTACATCGAAATCAGACCCTCTTTAGACAATTCTTATACAGGCGTTTGCACTAACATGTTTATGAGTCTATGTCCAAGGATTGGTTTAATATCGTCAAAAAAACCCGATACATATAGAACATGTTAAAGACGTACAATAATGTACAACACAATTTCTTTGACCTGTGCTAGTTGCCACAAAGCCCTTTATCGTCGAAAGCAGAAAATTTACTAGCTTCATTTCAAGCTGCATATTTACGGTGGCTGGGAAATGTGCTCTAAATAAAATACTGGAGATTGTTTGTCAAGTCTTCCACTGATGAACAAGTATCACTAGGGTAAGTATCACTGGGAGATCTGATCCACTCTAAGTGGGGGAGGAGTCTCTTGCGTTCACATACCCCTGCCCAGCCTACATATACAGAGTGGCACCAAACCCTGGAGGTGGGTTGGCGACGGGAGTGAAGTTACTATTAAGGAACATAAGGCGGGTGTTGCAAGAGTGAGCACTTGTTAGGAGACACTGCTCAGTCAAGGTATCCATCACCCAGCCTACAACAGTGCTGGACATTGTCCTGACCGCAGAGCGCAGGGTCTCTCTGCCATATGCTGTCTTGCTCTGCAGAACATTTTTCAGGTAGCAGTCAGTGAAGGTGGAGGGAGATTTCCAGCAAGCCGCCACACAGATTTAAGCTAAAGGAACTCCTCTTAAGTACGACCAGGATGCAGAGGCAGCCGAACGCCATGGGCCCTGATGTGAGATTGGGTTGTCTCATCATGTTGTGTCGGCCAGTCTCGCTTAGCAAAGATAATGGCCGAGACCTTCCATTGGGCAATAGTTTCCTTCGATGCCAGGTGAAAGGGTTTTGTCATGGCGATGAAGAGCTGTGAGTTAGATACTAGGCGATGCTTGGTCCTGGCAAGATACCACTTGAGAGTCCGAACCGGACACCATGTCTTGTCAGAGCTGTCTCCCGAAAGTAAGGTTATGTTGAGAACAAGTATGTCGGGAGGCCGGAAGGTAGGCGTCTGTTTTTTTCGTCAGAAACCCAATGGTTGGAATAAAGCCAACCCCATGGTGACCATTGGCAACCAATGTAACGACTGCAAGGAGGAATGCCAGATTGATTCTGAGATGGAGGTTACATGCATCGGACAGCGGTTCAAGGGGGGACCAGCAAGAATGCGTAGGACACTTCCAAGGTCCAAGGATAAGACAAGGCGTTTGACGTGGGAACACTCGACAAACATTCCTCAAAGGAAATGGTGGATCGCAACGTTGTTGGAGACAGTCGATTCATCAATGAAGCCCGAGGGTCAACAGCCACCAAGGCCAACCAGTTGTTGCGGATGGTGGCAATCTGGAGGCCCCAGTGAAACAGACACATGAGGAAGTCTGTGACAGAACTCACAGGAGCTTCAGTTGGAGAAACATAATGGTCATCGCACCATCTAGTAAAATGTTGCAGTTGGCTGTTGTAAATTTTGCAAGTGGACAGTCGTCAACCCCGGGTCGCCATGGACGCAGCGTGAGCAGAAAGGCCAAACACCATGAGGGATCGTTGGACAACGGTCCAGCACGTCAAGTGAAACTCTCCAGTGCTGGGTGGAGGATTCCTGATTTGGGTTGACGAAGGATGTCTTCCCTGACTAAAAGGACCAGCGGCCATCATACCGGGAGTCTTGTCAATCTTGGCAACCACAGTTGGTAACGCCAGAACAGAGCGATGAGGAGGATCCAACATGGCTCCCATTCCATATTGGACAGTACCTGCGGGATACTGGAGGAAAGGCATACGTCAGAAGGCCCGGCCAGATGATCTGTAGGGCACCTGTTGCCCATGCCTGTAAGTGAGGGAACCTGGAGCAGAATTTCGAGGGATGGGTTTTGTCGGCGGAAGCAAAGAGGTTGACACGGGATGCTCGATTTCCGCAAAAATCTGCCTGGCCACATTGGGTGAAGAATCTACCCTGTTGGTCGGATGGCACCCCGAGAGAGTGCATCTGCTATACTGTTGCTGGTTCCCACTATGTGGATGGCTTTGAGGGTGATACCTTGATCGTTTGTCCACATGAAAAGCTGCCATGCAAGGGCGAAGAGTTGAGGAGAGAGAGTGCCACCCTGGAGGTTGATGTACGCCACAGCCATGGAGTTGTCGCTCTGGACTGAAACAGAACGACCTACTAAGTGTTGCCAGAAGTGGCGAAGAGCATTTAAAACCGCTTGAAGCTCTAACCTGATGATATGTTTGTCTTGAGAAGTGCTGTCCCAGACCCTGGAGGCATTGAGTGGAGGAAGAGAGGCGCCCCTTTGAATAACAAAACGTCTATCGTCACAGTTACATCTGGACCTTGAGGTACGAAAGCAAGGCTGGCCAACAGGTGCTCAGTGACAGTCCACCACCGGAGGTGATTGTGTTGGAGGGTTGGCCTAAATGTACAAAGAGGCTGAAGTTGTCAATATAAGAAATGAATGAGAATGAGCACTGTTACATTGTACTATGTCTGAAGGGACTACGGCCATATCATTACATGCATGGGGAATTAAGGTCATTCCGCATGCATTACAAGAATAGAAAAACGGCAGGTAAGGAACGCCCGAAGATGGAAGATCGCTCCATAACTTAAGAATCCAAATATCCTCTTTCATTCTATATCTAAGCCTTGTAACACTTCCATTTACTCGCTGGAACAGACAGTGCAAGCGGCTAAATGGTGAAGTTAACAAATGCTTGCCAAGTCTGTCTTTTGTTTCGATTATGCAGGGCCAGGCGCAGTTGGAAAGGCAACCATGGCAAAACCGTTAACAAAAATGGCTGGGACAGTAGGCACACTATTGTCAGACCTCGTAACAATCACAGTAAATACACATTGGACAAGCCTACTACAGAAGAACTCGTGTCTGGAAAGCAATGTGAGGCGTGGCCAGGCTGAGTGGAAGAATATATGGAGAGTTGGGAATTATTTGATGAAGATATTATTTGTAGAATTCACGACAATGTGAAGTTTGGTGAATTAGGACGCCAAGACATGGATACTGAATTGAATGGTGTGATCACCAGTCAGAGATAGAGGGCAGTTTGTCCGGGGATCGCAATTGAACTTGCATGCCTGAGTACCTCCGATAACGAAGTTTCAGACATCGGAGGGCTCAATGGGTCTGCGAGTAGGGCGATGACATCCACTCCAGGCACTAATGACGTGAAGATCGATGGTCAGAATAAAACACACACGGTAGGCTGATCATATCGCATTTTATTCACCGGGACAGCTCCATAAAATGGTGGAGTGATGC